TTTTGTTTTGCTAGCCCTTCACGTTAACACAACACCTTCTCCAGTCCTTTACCCTAAACTTAACAATCAGAAATACATATTTAATCCCAATCCTTACACTGATTCTAATCCAGCCTAAATTCTAATCCTAACATGGAGCTCAATCCTGAACCTCACAGCGTTACACCCTGAGCTGGAGTCAGGAAGCAGGAAGGTCACAAGTGCAGCCCTCAGTTCTCAGACAGTTCTCAGTTGCAGGATTTCACTGTTTATCCATAATTCACAGAGCTTGAACTTGAACCCACTGGACAGAAGGACGGCACAGACCGAGAACACACAAGCGTAAAACACAAAGTACAGCACCAACAACGAACTGACCTGGACTGAGGTACACAGTACATACCCTGGGCTCCAGGTGGCATGAGTGAGACTGATGACAGAGACACAGGTGAGTGTGATCAGAGGGATCACCACAGCAGACACAGGCAGAGAGGAAGGAGGGCCTAACACCTAGTGGAGATCTGCAAAATGACAAGGAGAGTTTCCCCCTCAACAATAGTATAAAAAACATTGTTCTGACTAGAGCTGTTCCAGGAACACACACACACACACACACACACACACCCACCCATGGTTCTCAAGCCATTTACTGAGGGCAGGTTGCCATGATTGCTTTTATCAGTGCACCATTATTCCCAGTACGTCTGTATTCTGGGTTTATTGTACTTCTATACTATTGTCAGACACAAGTATCAGCAGATTTATCGCCGAGGCAAATGACTAATCTGTCAAACGCAGTTGTCACGATACATTTAGCTGTTGAAAATGCACAGAGAATCGGCGCTCTGCTCCAGTAGCAGACACACGTTTGGTATTCTGTGAAAGGTTTCCTTCAGAAAGAGCATTCCTCTATAAAGCATTATCTCTTTTCTTTGCTCAACCTTTTCTTCCATTCTGAGGCTCTTTTTTGGGAGTGTGACACTTAAGGGTAAGGTTGGTGAAATCACAGTGCAGGGAAAAAAAATAGAGTTCTGTCATGCAGGGGAATATTGAAAGTTGTGCTGAAAGGATTGAGTGGAGAGCGAGAGAGAAAAAAACCCTCTGATATCTTCAGGTTGGTGTGTCCACATGCTGGGCCTCAACACAAAGAAATGTCTAATTGGATGATTTCATACGGCGACGGCAGCTCTGTCGTGAATTAAAATAACTCCTTAAAAAAGCCACAGTCGTTTTTAATACAGCTTTGCCGTTGAAAAAGAGCCACAGGAAGCTGAACAAACGCCTTTGTCGCCGAGCATCTTATCTCTGAATCATGTCGTGTCCAATCACACTGAACAACAGAACTTCATTTTTACACATTGATAAAATCTTAGATCTGAGTCAAGTCAATTAGATTATTTATTTAATTATTACTATGACTTACTCAAAATTCCTTAATTAACCCCTTCGTCCTCGTCACTGAGAATAAAGGCAGTGATGTATATGAAGTCAATATTATACTGAGGCAAAGTGGAGCAGAATGTAATTGAAATTATTGTGGAGAGCAAATTAGAACACACACTGAGTAAACACTGGCGATGGTGAGGAGAAAAAAAAAGACTTTTGAACAGGAAGAAATATCCAGCTGATCCAGACTCTGTGTTCAGCAAAGAGTGAGAGGAAAATGGGGGAGAAAGGAGGAGAAACAGTAAGAGAGAGAGAGAGAGAGAGAGAGAGAGAGTGTGTCAGGTAAGCTGTTAAATACAGTACACTACTTCCCAGAATTTCTGTTTTCCTTAATATTGAAGTACTTTGTCAACGCTGTTGTGTGTGCCAAACGGAACGCACAGCAACATGTTGCCATAGATGTGGAATTAAGGTGTGTTATATTTATCCTAGACAGGATGAAACATAAACAGACCAGACTGATTGCAGCAGGTTTGATAACACTGTATGAAGCATTGCTAACAACCACGGAGATTAACCTGGTGAATGTAATGGACACTTTTAGCATTATAGGATGATGGTGATGAGGAAAATTCTGCATGGTGGTATGACTGATGATTGAGCAGATAGTTTCAGTTAAGTAAGTCACAGTAAAAAGAAAAACAAAACAGAAAAACAACGGGCATGACGTTCTCGAAACAACCTCTGAATCAGGGGTGTCTTTTCCTTTGTGTACAGAAACTGCTTTGACGCTGCTTTTTCTCTCAGGTTCATAACTGCTTTTTTTAACATTTTTAAACTCTCTCACAGTCACACACACAGATCTCTACAGACCTTTTCAACCTTCCCTGTGAACGTTCAGTCCGAAAACAGAAGGCACCGAGAGGAATTTCTAGATTTTCACATTGAAAATGACATTGTTAGCTTCATTATGCCACGTTACAAAATCAATGTTTTACTAATCTCTAGAATCAATTCTTCATTAAAAAATATTTTATCATCAGCTTTCTCCCAGAAGCCAAGAAAATGCTAGCAAAAAAATAAACATAAACACATACAAAATGTATGTAACAGTTGTAACAGAAAAGCGTTTAATAAAAGTTTAATAAATTTGCTCTACAAATAATTCAAACTAAAAGATATCTTACAAAATATAAAAAAGTAATTCCCAAACTTAATGAGAGGCAATAAATAAATAAAGGCAAATACATGTACCTGACAATGTTCTGCTTATATTTGACGCTAACGTGCACTGAGGCACAACCAGTTCATTAACTTCAGAAGAACTGCGGTTTAACATAAATAAACCTGTGGAGATACATTTACTGACATGTCTGTCTGTCTGTTAACACTTAAAAAACACACAGTGTCAAAAGAGGTTTTAATTAGTCTCTTTGTGAAGTTTGAATTACAGCCAGGCTACAGGAAATCACTCGAAGCGTGGTTAGAAACTGAAACTGTGAAAACCCATATCTGGATTTTCCTGTGTGATGTCACTAGGGGGCATAGTGAGACTGCAGGAGGCACGACCTGCCGCTGGTGAACTATACATCCATTACCATGGCAACAAGACTTTCTCCACTTCTACATATGAGGTACATTTTTTGAATGATTTGTCTGGAGCTAAAAATATGACATGGATCAACGTCAACAATTACTGTTGGTTCTTTTGCGAGAAACAAGTTTGAAAACACTGCTGGAATAAAAAGTGGGTTTTCTTCTTCAGTTTTGGAGAAAACATGGTTTCTCCCTCTTACCACCAAAGTGCCTGTGTTCCTTCACACTGAGAGTAAAAACGTGACTTTGCAGGTGTTGTGAACAGGAATTCACAGATGTTATTTAACAGCGCTGAAATGCTGTGAGCTGCAGAGAACCACAGCTCCAGGTTCAAGATTACAGGTCAGAACAGCACAATGAGTTTCTAATGAGTGTAAATGTGTGCACTCGGAGTGGTGCCCTGGTGTCTTTCTCCGTACAGAGTCCAGGGCACATGTGTTCACCTCTGGTTTAAGTGCTAATTAGAATGCAAGACTCTTCTCTGTACAATGATGTCAAGACCTTGTGGGAACAGACGCCGCGAAAGTGAGGAACCCATTCATGTGGTCTGATTGTTTCATCCACTAATACAAAAACAAGCTAATTATTTCACTGCACTGGAGAAACTTGTTAGGTAAATTATTTTTAGAAGACTAATGAACAGGTTACATGTGTTTTATTTCTATTAGATTGTTAATGATCTGCATGTGTAACACCGGTGGACTATAAAGAGGCAGCCACTGGGATTCTTCTGTTGTGAATTATAATAAAGGTATATTCATATATATATATAATATACTTATTTTTAGATACTGAAGTTTCACGATAATAAGCTGCACTCTTGACTGCCAGGACTGTCACGAGTCTTTGGAGAAGTAACTGGCTCCTAAAGTAAGTCAGGCTCCTACAGTCCTCTATATGAATTACATACCATGATAAAACTGCCTGAGTCTAAAAATAGAAAGTGCTCCTGCCATCAACTGGCAGGTCTGAAATAATCATGGCTACATTTTTCTTTGTGTGGTAAATCAATTGTTTGCTTGTTTGTTGACAAAATAAAATAAATAAAATAAAGCCAAAAAAGTACTCTGTGCAAGATTTTGTGACATCTTGTGGTAAAGTGAGATATTACTGGATACATCTCAGGCTCTTGACATGGTCATCTTCTGGAGTGTAGTGGCTCGGGAAAACAAAACTAACATAATGGATGACAGGGGGCGCTAGATCACGATTTCGTTTTAGGCGAAAAAATGTCTACAGCCAACACTGCATTCTAGTATATAGAATATTGGATAACTCTCCGTTATTCTTAAATAATTAAATAATAATAAAATAAATACTGTTGGCTAATACAAAATGATTTCATTAATAACAATCTCATGCTGGAGGTGAGTATAAGGTACTAAAACAAATACACGTGACACTGTAGTGCTGTATGTTTGTATGTAAAGCACGTTTGTGTTGGGTTTACCTTTAGGATAATCACCCTCCACATACACTAGTTGAACTGGGAAATTCTTTCAGGTGAAACGATGATTCAACTGTGGCCCAGTGAAAATAATACACACGATGCAGTTCATTGTTGGTTAAGTGCTAATTGTGTTTGTCATCTCTGAGCGCTGATAGGACTCTGCTGCTGCGGCGCCACATGAACTGGGTGTGGAGGTATACTGTTCAAACACAGTGAAGGCAGGGTGTAAGCATTTTCTCCATGCCTGTCCACATTTCATGAATGCATTGTAAAGAGTGCAGCAACGTCTGCCTGTTTGTCCACATTTCCTGCTCATAACAGTGACGAAAACAGATCTAAAATCTGCATTATTATGAAGAAACAATCATGAAAATTGTGCCCAAGTGATGACTTTACCTTGACTGACAGCTGAGACCCTCTAAGAAATGTCTCCCCACGTTTTGTATGGGTTGTGCACTGGTTATAGTTCATGACAGCAGTCATTCCACACAGCCAGCTCCCAGAGTTACTGTGTGCCCTTTGACCCCTGTCGCTTCTAAAATAGAGGGACGACCTTGTGGTGACTTGAGTCATAGTCCCAGTTGTTGACTGCGCACTTTTGGTCGTCAGTCAAACACTCTGACGTGCTGGGCGGCACACAGAAAAAAAAAAGAAAAAAAGAAAGGCGACGCACTTCACTTGTTTTCCTGAAGGAGATGTGATGAAGTGTTTGCACACAGTCAGTGGTTACAGAGCGGACTTAATGTTGTCATCTCTCTGAGGCTGTCTCTCCTGAGGAACTTCTGTATAACTGTCTCTCTTGTCTGATGGGTGAGTTTGACTAATTCTTTCCATTTTTACCACCATGTTTGTGTTGTCTGTCAGGAAGGAGAGAGCTTTGATTTGAGCTGAACAGACTGTACTTAGTAAGTTAGTTGTTTTCTTGACAACAGAGACAAAAGGTCACTGTGGATAAAGATAAAGAACAACATGTAAAAGTTTCTGTTTTAGTCTGGTGGTCAACACTTTTCTTTTAGGATTTAAAAAAATATTCAGTGTGATTTTTGTTGTGGCAAGTGAGTGATTCCCAACCTCTGGGTTGGAATCCATATGAGGGCCACAGGGCATTCTTCTGGTCCTTATCTGCTTTTAGTTGGAAATAACTAGATGGTGAATTTTGATAATAATTCACAAGAATGACTAATGACTTGTTTACCAGCATACAGGCTTAGTGATTTGGTTAACTATAACATTGTTTTTTCATTTTCCCACAGTTAAACCTAAGGTTATGAAACCACATAAAGGCAGATTTTTATACAGAATTGTTTCAGTTATTATTAGTGTCATGTGTCATAACTATTTGTTTAGGATCATTGACATTTAACTGTTAATGTCACGAGGCTGTGTTGTCTGTAAGATACTGGATCCTCATTTAAAATACTTGAGAAACACAGCTATAAATCAAAAGACACGACGTTGCCTTCTGTCTGCGGTTCCTAACAGGAACATTATAGTTTGTGCTGATTTATCGTGAGACAGTTTCCCACGAGCTCAGGTAACATAAATACAACTAAGTATTAATTAGTGACACATTTTATGGATGTTTTTATCTCTTCCCACTGTAAATGTTTAGACGTCATCTGTTTTATGTACCTTAGCAGTGAGGATTGTATGGAATAAGTTGAAGATAAAGAGTTGTTTTTTTAACCACAAAACTCAAAGAAATGAGAGTGAGCGGTGATGGATGAGTTGCCCTGAGCATTGGCCACACTCGTTCCTGTGAAGCCCAACTATTCAAAGCCTGCGCAGCAGCTTTGTCAGAGTGAAGTGGGTCGAGGCTCTTTCTTTGTGTGTGACCCAACTTGACTGAAATGTGGTAATTGGGGAACCCTGGTGTCTGGGCTCCCTGCGGTGATGATGGGTGAGGGTTTTTATAAAATAATTCAAAGCTCAACCGGTTGACACATGAGAAACAGGTCAGCTTTTAATTTAGGGCCCTGACAAAAATACACTTCTGTGCTCGGTCAGGCGTGACGGCTCTTTCTTTTCCTCACATGAAAAAATGATGCCACAAATAATGATTTCACAGAGTTTTCCTTGATGCTATTGTAATCATTTCATTAGCATCGTGGGACTATGGCTAGAGGAGGTGTAGATTTGTTATGTCTAATTTGTTTATGTAATCACTCTTGATATTGCAATTGATGTCAATTCATTAGGAATGAAATAGACAGAAATTTGACAATCGGATGTTCCATTAAGAACAAGAAAATGAAACCTTCAGTAAAAAAAGAGGAATAAAATGTACTGGTAAGGTGAAGTGTTGAGTAATGCTGCAAAGAAACTCCAGCTATATATAGCTATTCAGATGTTTTCTTTTGTAACATGATCGTTTTTTGTTCCTTACAAAAAAGATGGAGTGCAGATATCTGTGTGACTTAAGCTGTAGTTGATGATGAGTAGAAATTGTTGCTTTTGGCAGATTTTCTACCACTAAGTTTGACTCGGTTTGTAATTTAAAATGGAGTAGGAAGTCTGCAAATACTACCATTATGGATAGGTATAGCATGAAATATGCTCAAAATTCACAATGCAACATGAGCCACTGTCTAGGTATGACTGTTTGACCTTTCAAGAGCGTAGTGTTGGACAAGTTTAGTTTTCCAGGCTGTTCAGTTTCTGTGACCCCAGAGTCCATTATCATGCTTCATTAAAGAAACAAGAAAGTGTTCAGTGTAACACACACACACACACACACACACACACACACACACATATATATATATATGTGTGTGTGTGTTAGTGTGAATGTCCATGGTCGACCCCACCCTTGTCTGATGACAACTGGGACTGCCCCCCCCCATGTACTGTAGGGCTGTAATTACACATTCATTTCTACCAAGCGTCATGTCCTGTCCCTAGAAGTTTAGTTGAACTGGTGATCAACTACAGTACTGGTACTGATGATCAACTACAGTACTGGTACTGATGATCAAATACAGTACTTGTACTGATGATCAACTACAGTACTGGTACTGATGATCAAATACAGTACTGGTACTGATGATCAAATACAGTACTGGTACTGATGATCAACTACAGTACTGGTACTGATGATCAAATACAGTACTTGTACTGATGATCAAATACAGTACTTGTACTGATGATCAAATACAGTACTGGTACTGATGATCAAATACAGTACTGGTACTGATGATCAAATACAGTGCTGGTACTCAGTTCATAGGTCATAGTTCTTACCAACAGTGAAAATACCTCCAGACCTTTGTCCTGTTATCTGTTCAAAATCATTCAGAATTCTGCTTTAAATTAATGGAAGATTTAACACAGATTCTTATGGTGCTTACCTATTGTGTTCTATTAGCTTCTCTCTATTGGATAAAGTCAGTATTGTGCAGATTGATTTCCACTTTCACATTTGGAGCTCGTGAGCACAGGGAGGCAAAGAAACGGGAATAAATTCTAAATGTCACATGCCGCGCGGTTTGCTTGCATGGGCCTCTCATGTCTAAATGGAAAATGACAGTGGATCCTCAGTGTAAATGTCATTATGCTCTGACACTGTGAAATGGAAATCAAAACTTTCCATGGCTAATAGCTCCCTGGTGGTAACGACGAGAAAACATGAATGTTAAAGTGGCCCAATAAACCACTTCCTCCCACTTTTTCAGAGGTTCCAGTCTGCGTCACCCTGCGACAGTTATATCCAGCATGTGTTGCCACATGTCAGGCATGCATGGTCTCCACCTACATGGTTTGCCTTCCTGAGAAAGAGAAGACATAATTACCTCTAGGCAACCTGGGTGACTGCATAATTGGAGCCTGTCAGAAAAGTTTTAAAAATATTCTCTCTGTGATGGAGCTGAAGATCCAACGCAGACTTCACACGAGTGACAACGAAGACGCTAACTTAGCTTAAAATAAACATCGTCATCATTGTTTAATCTGGTAGATAGGACGCTCATATAATGCACTGTTATTTTTAACCACACTGGTCGGATTTGAACTCCAGCCAAATGTGTGGTGACAGGCTGGGGTATAAGTTTAGCTGCTGTCAGCAAATGAGCGGCTCATTGTTATCCATTAGGGGCAGCCAGTCTAAGTGTAAGAGCCTTAACCAGGCAGGGAGTGAGTTTTCAGACAATTAATCGGTGGTGTGCTGGGAAGGTTTTGAATCCCGGCCAGTTATTTAAAAAAAAAAAAAAAAAACAGCAGTGTGGTGTTATCACGGCAACGAGGAATAGAAACTGCAGTAACTTCTCTCCCTGTAACAGGATTCTATATGAATACGTTGATTGACTTTAATCAAATCTGAAAACATCGCCAGTGAATACATTTATATGGTTGAATTTGTTGAAGAGAGACATCCGTAATTAGGAGAATTGACGTATTAGCAAAAAAGATGCAGAAACAAAAAACTAAATTAGAAAATGTCCTGGTATTAAGATCAACGTTTGATTTCAGCCTTGCAGTTATCTAATGAGCGTAAAGCAATTAAAACTGAAAAATCCTAAACTAGATTTTAAGAAAGGTGCTGTTTTTTTTTCAATGTTCTCACGTTGCAGACGTAACAACTAAGCACCTAAACTGCACGTTGTGGTCTCACGTTCATCACTTGGTCCAATTAAACTGTCATTAAAAGTTAAATGCAGTTTTAAAGCAAAGCCAGATATGACTGCAGAGACTACGGGGTGTTAAAGAAAGCATTTGTATGGATCAGGATTGATGCCATCGTTTAAGGACATGTTAAGGTCTTCAAGGTCACATGTCATATATTCTTTATTAATTCAAATCTAGATCATACGTGTCAAACTCAAGGCCCGGGGCCAAATGCGGCCCGCCAAGCCGTTTTGTGTGGCCCACAGGAGCTTAAAAAGCATTTACTGAAGTCCAAGCAACAGAGGTTCTTAACCTATGAAATTAAGAGTTTTCTTTACTACACAGCAATGAACAATATTTGTAGCTTGAATAAATAATAATCAACTGCAGAACCATTTTTTAGTCTGTTATGGAGTAGTTACATCTATACCAGTGCTCCCCAACCTTTTTTGTTCCAAGGACTCAGCCAGTTCACTGTGTCCCACTGTGGCCCGGTACCAGATGACCTATGGACTGGTACTGGGGGTTTGACACTCCTGGTCTAGACTAACCCAACGTTGGTACCACAAATCCACCTAATAATGTCTTGTGTGTGGCACATTTTATTGAGTTGGACCTGGTCACCCCAGGTGGACACCACATTAGACCCAGTGTCACACCTATTATGTCAGACATTCATGACCAGTATCACTCTACATCCACAAGGGTCCTGTGTTGTTGCCAAGCAACACAACTATACACGTCTAGAAAGAATCTATAAAAATAATATTCAACAGGACATGTGTGAATATATCAACTACACTCAACAGCTGTTATGAAATATTTCATACCCGTTATTAGATTATTTTATCATTGAAATCAGATTTTTTTTTTTCTGTCTGTGGTCGTCTCTCAGAAACCGGCACATAACAGAGGAGAGAAAAGAAGGTAAAGAGAGACTTTTACTGTTTGATAAAATACAACATTTGGCTGTAATTGTCTTCTTCCGTGCCATAAAAAGAACCAACAGAGTTCCTTCGCCCACTGCTATCTGTGTAATTTAATGATGCTCGGTTGACTTTGAATGGAAAATGACCCTGAAAGAGAAACAAAACGGACTGGCCGCTGAGGCGTGTGTTCGGTGGGGAAATTTACTGCTGCGCTCCGAGGACGACAGTCCACGCTGGAATGCTTGTGAAATATTTACGGGAGCCACTCACACGGCAACTTAT